TGAAAATTTGTGTATACTGTGACTTAGCCTGCATTTGTCTTTGCTTGAGAGCAAAAACATAAGAAAAAAAATCAGGCAATCCCACATTATTAAATTACTGTTTCCTTTGTGTCCCAAAGCTTGCCTGGCAACAAAAGCACAAACCACACATGCGTCATGAACTGCGAGGCCTTACCGATGCTGCAATAGACTGCTGTAAAGGTGAAAAGGATTGACGCCGCGGCATATGGCGGTGATGCACAAAGTGAATCCTAAGACTGATATGCTTATCTTCATTACAGCAAGGTCTTCTTCAGGGATTTTAAAAATTGTTTAAGAAAGAAGGAATGAAAGTAAGGAGTAATGCGGATAACAGGACAGACATAGAAGTCATCTGCTTTATTTACTTATGTCAAACAATAATACATAAGAGACGAGAGGTCAAAAGAAAACCAACCATCTACATTTAAAATAAAGAAATTTCAGTCCTGAGATTGACAAAAAGCAGGGAGAACAGACAAAATATCTACTGTGATCGTTGGGATGGAGGAGGGACAGTGGCAGTTTCAGCAAATTGAAGATGATGGTTGTGGGGAGATTAGGGGGAGATTGCAGAACTGGAGAGGGTAAGCAATCACTGGGATGCTTGGCTGTAGGCACATTCAAAAGTTGAAAACCCCACGACTAAAGGATTTTACAGCTTTTTTTCTTTTTTCTTTTTTCTTTTAAATATTCAGACTTCTTAGTTCAAAATCTGAGTCTCATATATTATAATTTTTCCAAAAAAGAAAAAAGGAAGATATTCTTTACATATTTTCATCCTGAGGAGACAAAATCATTTTTAAACATAAATACAACACTGCAGGGAGAACAATAAGAGAGATGCTTTATAGATTTCCCATTTCCATATATATTATTTTCTCAAGGTTGCGGCACCCTCAGACTTTGGCAGCGTTGGTGCATTTGAGATCGTTCGGGAAAAACAGCCCTGTTTGTCCACAGGAACATTCGGAGAGCCTCACAAACAGTGAAAGGAATCAGGAAGAAAATAAGCAAAATCCCCAGACTTTTGAGTTTTGATTGGATACAGCAATATCCCCACAGCGTAAACAAGATGAATATTTGGAGGCCATAAGCTTTCTCAGCTGAACATACATACTTGTGGCGCTGAAGAAATAAAAACGCTCTTGGAATTATGCCCCGCTGCATTGCCTTTCAGAAAAGGGCTCCGAGGCTGTGCCTTTTGGGATAAAGATCCTGATTTATTTCTTCATCTGTGCTGATCTTTTACCTTGCGGTGCATTTAACAGGTGCTGAAAACAAAATTTAAATTCTACGGCGCTCACATGTGACCCATCCAGTTCTATCAGACAGCACTAAAGAGACAGCAGTGTGCTCAACGTTTGTGACAAAACACAGAAAAATCTTTTAATGGTATTGTGCAATACAGCAATAAGGCTGGTGGATTAACAATACAAGCCTCCTCAAAACCAACTGAACTATTGATTAAGGTATTTTCTTGCTAGGTAGGAGCCAAATGGAGAGGAATGGCCTTGTGGATGTAACGTTAAGGAGGGATGCTGGGAAGAACTCTGAGATGAGAGCCCCAGGGGCCCAAGGGCAGCCAGGGGACATGACTGAGGTTGACCAAATCATTGTGGAAGTAAGGGGGTGGGGGGGCGCTTGGGCCTTCTCCCCCTCCTGTCATCTGTAGATTAGAGCAGCGCCAAGACTCTACAGAGTGAGCAGCTGCCTATATATTTTTTTTGTCCTTCCCTCCCCTCCCGTTCCCTCTCTTCCGAGAGTGAAAGAGCTGACCCTGCTTTGAACGACCCCGTCTGCTCTCTTTTCTTCTCAGCAGTATTTAAGGCGCATAATATGCAACTAGACCTTTACACTGGGTAAAGGTCCTTGTGGAGTTATTGGGATTTACTAAGGGATTTTTACAACCAGCATAAGTCATTTCACCTTCGTTCTGCCCTCGGGCCATCCTTGAGAGCATCTCTCTGCCCTTGAAAATGTGTTAACAGTCAATATCGGTCTGTTGCTACAGCGATAAATTACAGATCCAAATGTCCTCATTCAGACTGAGATTTCTGTGTCATTAATAATTTTCTGGACAAAATATTTGTTGAAGTGTTAAAAAGTTTAAAGTGAAGTTTTTGTTTGTTTGTTTTTTTTACTTAGGAAAATCAGATTGAGGCTCAATAAGTCTTTCAGCCAGAGAGGTGATTTCAGTTGGCCTTCAATCTGATATGTGACCGCAGAGCCAAATAGGGGAAGCTTCAACCAGGCACCAGGAATATGGCAATTATCCTGATTACTGATGCTTCGAGGCTTCTCTGGCCCCCAAATCCTTGCCCACATCCTTTCCTCTCTCCAAACCCCCCTTTTTTGTTTTTTTTTTGCTGAGACCTGTCACATTGCACAGGACCCATCACCCAGGCAGAGAACAACCATATAACCATATATAATCCAACAGAAAACAAATCCCCTCGATCAAACACAGCCCAGCCTTTAAAGCAGGCCTCTGAGCCCAGGTGCCAGTGCTGAGGCCCTCAGAGAAGCCGCGGAGGCTGTGATTTAGCAGCCTCCCCCCACCCACTCACCCACAGAAAACCGTTCTATCCTCCTCTTTAACGCCAGCCAGCCAGTCCTAACCTTCAGTTTGTTTAAGCACTGCTGAACCCAGTTGGCCCCGGACAGGGGGAGGGTGGGCTTAGATAATGACATGCCATATGCCACTCTGCCTCTGCAGCTGAGTGAGCCATGGCTGGATCAGCCCAGGCACAAATCTATTTGAAATTTAATTCTATTATCCTAATATGGGCTAAGCGTCCATTGTCCAAATCAGGAACAGAGGAATGGACCACAGTTCCAGGGATAAGATGCATCCCATCAATAGAAGCTCATTAATGTGTGTAAAGGACCAAGGGGACAGACAGTTTGGAGCCTGTACATAATGAACGATGGCCACAAAGGCACAGAGTCACCTTACGCTAAATAAAACTGTTGTTGTTTTTAACTTTGTATTTTTCTAAATGACAAATGATCGTATTCACGTGGATTTTTGCTGTTTATTCGGCTGAAGTTGGCTTCAAATGGCCAGATTTCTCTCAGTATCTAAGAGGAAATCCTTTACTATTTGAAAGGTGTTTGATTTCAACCCTTTGACTGAATGAATACTCTCTGCTGGCTGTGTCCTGTAGCCAGACGTCACCCAATATTCCCATTAGTAGAGAGGCCTGGTGCCTCAGACCTCCACTGGTGGGAAAGGCCAGACACTAGAAGCTCCACTGCCTCAAGTGTCTCCTCTTCACTTCAACATCATGTGACAGGGTTTAATGCTTGGATGCCGAAGCCAAACGGAAGGGATTTTGGGAAGGGATGTATCTGTAAATCTGTCAAAATATTTCTACAAGACAGAAAATATGCTGGAATCAGACCGCGGCTGGGGCATTAAGCTGTTGAAACAACATGAAAAATTTCACTGGAATGTTAAAGAGGCTTACTGTGCAAATTTAAGCCAAGGGGCTTGGTACTCTTTAGACTGGAATCTCTGTCAGCTTTCAGATACAGTGGCATGCCTACGAACACCATTACCTCAAAATTTAAGGTTCATCGTTAATAATTAAGGGAAAAGATCAAATCACAACGATGCTTCTTCTTCTTTTAAATATCCGCCGCATTTCAGTATTAACGGTTAATGTTTTTCAGCAGTGCTGTCTGTCCCGTATCTTTGGATGGCCAAAGTGTAAACATTTAAAAGACGATGATCTAAATGCACTGCTACTACTACGTTTATCATTACAGCACATTATCCGAGCGATGTCACACACCGTATTCCACTCTGGGTCTCACAGAGCTGCTGTAACAATATCCCAAGCTTCCCACTGCCTTTTAGAGGTCACATGTTAAAAAATAATCACAGACTTCAAAGCCGAAATGTGGCTTCTGAATAAATTTTTAAAGAAATTTATTTTACACCTCAAAACAAAAGATGGATAAGGATTAGGGATGTGGTACATTGGGAATGTATTGACAACTGTAGTTTACATTTTTTTTGGTGTAAGCTCAGAGAAAAAAAATGTTAATACAGTCATAATAATTGCACTTCATAAATCTAGACTAATGCCAGTATTTCCCCACAACAAAGCTCTGGTTCTTTCTTCCTCTGCAGTTAATAAATTCAATTTACTACTCAAATTTGACTGACAAAAGAAATGCTAATTTAAGACCAGAGGACTGCTGCACTGATCCAATTTTTCTCTTTCACTTGAGTCCCACAAGGCAATAAAACATCGCAGTAATTTAAGTGCAGTACATTCAAGGGAATCTCACAGTCATAATAAATATTTCACTGCTCTGAATCATCAAGTTAAGACTGGCCTCGGCTAAACGCATCCCAACCAGGGGCTGAAATGGACAATGAAAAGCAGTGAGCTTTGAGTCTCATTTCATCTGATGCCAGAGGACAGGGCATGATTGTTTTCATTTGTTTTTGTTTGCAGGATTAGGGGTGAATAGCACCCCGAAGATATGATCTCCATTTGTTTCCACCACTTTCTCATGATGATAGCACCTGACAGATGAAGAGGCTGTAGTGCTGTAAATACAGTCATAAAGGAGTCACGTGAGAAAATGCTCTCTAGCTCCACTGAAAATCGAAAGCCTCCGAAAATAAAAATTAAATAAGAGGGGTTGAATTTGCAAACCATCTCCCGTACATTATGCAGATATAATGTTTATGGGACCGGTGACTCAGTCTTTCGGTCTTGGTGGTAAAAATCTTGTAATGACAGAATTTGAGAAGAAGAAAAAAAAAAAAAGTCTGAGGATTTTGAAGAACACAAATTTAAAAAAGAAAAAGACAAAGCACGCACGCATGCACTCAGCCACATACACGCATTAACATACATGTAAGGTTATGCAGATAACCTCCCAGTCACATTCTTCATTGTAACAATTCTTTTTCTTGTAATGTTTTTTTTTCTTTTTTGCAATGTTTTCTTTTTAAATAAGTATTTATTGTATTGTATGATTCCAGTGTTGGTTAGGAAAAAAAACAGCTCTCCAAACAGGTTCTTACAGAACCAAAGCAGCAACTATGCCTCACACCAGGACATAAGAAACTGCACGTCAGCCAGAGGAGAAATTATTAAGTCATCAAAACAAAAAGTGGAAAAGAATAAAATTAAATTGAAAAAAAAAAAAAGCATTTGAGACACTTTTCCCCATAGCAGCCAAATACATATAATATACCTACAAATATATCAAACAACAAAAAATAGGTTCAAGTTTTTCAAGTTTCTTAAATATATCATATCCAAACTACCCAATTCCAAACTTCAAAGTTAACAAAATTCAAGCAGTGCAATTTATGTATCAATTATTATAACAGCAATAATAACTAATATCGTACTAGCCTTTTAACTCAACCTTATGATCCTTGTACATAACACCCGAGTACAGCCTATAGTCTTCTCACTTGTCAGTACATGTTTTGTTTTTTTGTCTTTTGTAGGTGTTCACGTGTGTGTACTGTTACAGAGTTTGGATTTTGAGAGCAGCCCTAAATATTGGCCCTTTTGTGACCATTTCAGTGACAACCTACACAGTAGCTTCATCCTTAGTATTTAGAATGGGGATACAAGTGGCTTATGCACTTCATGTCAAGCTATGATTCTGGTCAAAACAAGTTCAGGCATGAGAAAAAAACAAAAACAAGAAACAAAACAAAAACAGGAGACCAAAAAATATAATTAATTCAAAATCCTATTGGCAAACCACAAGCTGGAACATCAGGAGAATCATGAAATCCCTTTTCATTCCCACTGGCAATCACTACCACTTTTTGTATTTGGGATTTCCACAGCCTACCTTGAAACCACCAAACCTAGGGCCACACAGCACGACAACTGCTCTTCTCTAAGCACCCACACTAGTTAAAGCAGTGGCACTCGCATCAACCCCCTGCCCCCCCTCCCAAAAAAAACATCTGGTTTTTTTTTTTGTTTTGTTTTTTAAACTTGGAGAATCTTCACAAATTCACAACTCTTGATTCGTTTCCTTTACTTCCCCCTCTATCTGTAAACAGGGAGGCGGATGTGTGCATGCTGGTGGTCTAAGAGACGTGGCACAGACACAGTCTCGTAGCCTTTGCCAAGCATCTGCTCCTTGATGCAGGGTGGGTGGATGTCGTTGATCAGGTACTCCAGAGACTGCAAGCTGCTGCTCAGCACAGACGTGTTGCACAAGCTTTTGCTGGGCAGGCTGCAGCACAAACCTCCCCCGCTGTCTATAGCAGGGTGGTGATGGTGATAGTGGTGATGGTGGTGAGGGTAGCCCATCTCTCTGTGCCCTGTGGCCGGCCCTCCGGTGGAGGTGCCCAAAAGCTCCTGGGGATTGTAGCAGTCACTGTCAGGTGTCACCAGCACGCTGTTCCACGGTGGCGCAAAGTACTGACCCACTGAGAAGTTTCCGTGCATACCCACGCAGTTCAAAGGGGAAGAGCTGACTTTGTCCAGCCCGCCTCCTCCACTGGCACTGGCAGTCAGGTGGTAAGGTCTAGAAGAAGAGGAGGACACCTGGGCACCCATAATCCCTCCTCCTGGAACACAAGTTTCCGGGGACTTGCTGATGGCGCCCCCTCCTCCACTGCCTCCACTGTACATGCGGAGCACAGCCTGTTGCTGCTGCTGTTGCTGCTGATGTTGCTGCTGCTTCTGCCATAGTATGTAGTCCATACCATCTGCGTACACACCAGTCTTCATCGCCTCTGAGTTCTGAGCCGGCAGCCCCTGACCTGTATATACCATGTTAGCCTGGGGACCCATTCCTACCACATAGCCTCCACCGGAGGAGTTAGAAGAGACCCCCATGACAGCCGCGCCCTGCTTGGAAGGGCTGGAATTCGATGGTGCGGTGGCAGCCCCTTGACACACCTGCTGCAGAGCCTGGGCCTGGCAATGTTGGTTGATCTGATAGATGATGCTCTGAATGGAGGGAAGGTTGGATTGCGTGGGCAAGGCCAGGCCTCGGCCCCCCGTTACAGGGATCACTGAGCCAGCTACAGTGACATTTGGGGGCACTGACAGTCTGGGGCCTTCTGGAGGCTTTGAGGGCCCAGTGTGGTATACCATTTGGCCATGGCCACTGGCTAAAGTGCTACTACTAGGGGGCGGGTATGGGGCAACAGCTATGTGGGCTGGAGAGAGCTTAGTCCGTCTGCCTTCGGAGTTCTTGAGAACACCTTTTGAAGAGACGAAGGTGGATGTTGACGATGATGACGATGACGAGGAGGAGGACTTAACAATAGCAAGGAGACCCTGGTAGCCCCCTGTGTGGAGGTGTGGGTAGGGACTATAGCGTTGGCCTGTGGTGTCATATCCATTTACAGTCCGGTTAAGGTGCTTGTGCTGGGGAACCCTGATGTTGGTGGGGAAGATCTTGATGGACAGCGGGCTGTTGGCTGTCTTCTGAGCATAGGCATCAAGTTCTGCTGCAGTGGGGTAGCGAGGGGAGTGTGTGGGCACTACTAGTTCACCTGCAAGACACAAAAAAGAAGAAAAAAAGAATGACTGAAATGAACAAATGCCCGTAGAAGAAGCGAACAGCAGACCTGGGGTTTAATTACCAGAAATATCAAAGAGCCTGACAGCAATGGCATTCACAAAGCCGGGTCAATCAATTGTAATAACCACTGTTCTCCTGGAATAGTAAGATCTGGCAGCAGCACCACGGCTAGATTGAAAGCAGGTTAAAAGATGTCATCGTGACACAAGAGCAGGCGAATAACACAAGATTACAAACAGCAGAAACACTTCAGAGCAAACCCACACAGAGTTTGAAAATTGTAAATGAGGGCTGGCATTCATTTGCGTTCTCTCTCTCGTCCTCCATCTGAGCTTTCCTCCCATCTCATTTTCTCACCCTCCTGTGGAAGTTCATCCCTAGACAAATGGATCTTTTTAAAAACTCATTCTGTCAAAGCCTGGTACCTTAGGCGCTGTTAAATCAGTGCATTGTGAAATTAATTCGGACTCTCTTTAGCATTGAATTGGGTTAGCCTTGGATACCAGGCAAGGAGGGATGAAGGGGAGGGGATAAAAGCTTGTTTAATTGCAGTGGCACATTTGAGATTTATAAGTGCTATCACTTACTGGGTCTTACCCTTGGCCACAGAATTTTCACATTTTTTATTCAGTCCAGGAGTACATGAGAGGCCCTAGCAAAAACCTATTAAAAATCCATGGGGAATTAGTAGCCTGGTTAAGGTGAACTACATGAGAGCAGAGCCAAGTCCAGAATACTTGAGTGATATTTTTTTTTTTTGCTGAAAGTATTTGTTAAAAAGGCAGAAAAACATAAACTCAGTGATGAAATAAATCAAACATTAGTTTTACAAATGGTATGCTCATACGTGACAATGAAATATTTCCAGTATGAGGTTAGAGAAGTAAAAAGCGGGCCTCCGTATCCTTGTAATATAAATTGATGTTACAAAAACTACACAAAAATGCTTGATTGAACAGGAAAAAAAGATAAATAGACGCCAGTATAGCAAATGTTTTCCTCTTACTTTACGTCCAAATTCTCTCTAAGGTTTGACCAGTGAAACCACTCATTTCAAAAATCAATTGGACACTGGTGTTGAGTGAGACTGGCGATGGTCCTCGGTCATTGAACCAAGGGTTGGCCATTGTGAACTGAGGTGGCAAACAGGAAAAAATGCAATTTCTAAAAACCCCACCATGTGTCATTGTTTGGGGGGGGGGGCTGGGCACGGAGGTGAGGCACTGCAGTGAGATTGGATTTAAACAACATTATTCAGGCAATTTCATGGCTACTTAGCTCAGTGCAACAAAAAGGGTATGGGGGTGGGAAAAGAACTCAATTTACAAGCAATATATCAGCTGCCACAAATGACTTGCAACCCCTTCAAAAATGACTTTTTTATGCAAAAGCTAACAAAATGCACAAAAATTTAACTGCCATAACTGTGCCGTCAGCAAATGTCCTGGCGACCCAAGGCAGTCTGCAGGGTGCAGGCTGTGACTAGGACTCACTCCATTTGCTTTCCGATTGCAAAATCATTTTAAAGAGACTCCACAGCCAAGTAGTCACAATTCTCATTTCTTTGCTCCCATTACAGAAAGCATGGGGAGTTCATTTCAACAACCCTATGGGTCTCCAACTGTGAAAATGATTAAATCCACAAGATCCATATCATAAAAGAAATAAATTGGGAATTTAACAGCAGACTGGAGAAACTGTGAATATTCCAAGCCAAATTTAGTGCCTGAACTATTATACGCGTGTTGTTTCATCCGACAGGCAACATGCTTTCCAGACCAGAAACTCTATGGCATCAAATTAGGCTTTAAATTTTGTAAAAGAAAGAAAAAAAAAGTGCTGACATTAATTATTTAATTTTAATTTAGAGTGTCATTCTAATGGGCTTGTCTGAGTATGCCAGGCTAGCCTATCTAAGATCTAACCAACCTTACTGAGGCAAAGCCCTGCTTCCCTGGTGACAGCAGTGCCATTTGCTTTGATGTTCTGACTTGCAGAGGAAAACTGACAGAAGACTTATTTGCTCAGAAGAAAAAAACATGCTCATTTCAAAGCACATTGCTGGTCCACATGCAAATGGATGGCAGCATTTTTTCTGATCATCTTTACATGAGGGCAAAAAAACATCTTTGATCATCACATGGTCTAAATGAGGAAAGATACTTGGCTTTCAGGCATATCAAGGGCCTGTGCCCTGCCGCCCCTATAAGCCCCCAGCTGCAGTATGCCCATCATTCCACCTAATTACTGCCACATGAGGAAAAAAACTATAAAAACAGCCAGGAAATTCATTAAAGGGTGGCTAATTCTATTCCTTCTCACTGACTGAGCCCATATTTTCCATGCCTGAGCCTGCATTTCTTCTGAGAGAGAGAGAGGAGAAAGCCTTCTCCCTCCGTCTTTTCCCAGCTTGGCCCTTGTTTGTCAATAGGCAGAGCCTTTGGCACACCAACCTGGCATCAAAGGGTTTCACACTTCACAGGCCACAGGGATTAGAGGCCTTTCAGGCCTACAAAACCCATCTCAGCTCCACAAAGGCTTCCGGTTATTAGAACCCATGGGCATAAAGGAAGAAGAGGAGGAGGAGGAGGCAAATGAGCATCTGGATGCTTCTGATTCTGGCTTCCTCTTTAAAAAGTTCCACGGTAAAAATTTTATAGCAAAGTTGATTACAGTAACCTAAGTATGGCCACAAACCAGAGCATATTTCACTCTCATACACACATTGTTATTCACACTGTGTGTTTGATGTGCGGGGTCTCTGCATTTCTCTCCTCCAGAGCAGTAAGTCTATAAGTGAGGACATGGAGGTTAAAGGAGTGAGTCTCTTTTTAGGCTGGCGCTCTGTGACTTATTGGTTTAGGCTGCAGTAGATCATAGCAATGAGCAGCAGCATACAGATGGTGCGGGCTGATAAACACCCTCTGAGGCCGCCAGTACTGCCTCCTTTGTGCGAGTCCTTACCTCCTCATAAGGTGGGAGGGGGGGTTTCCTGCACCTGTGCACACTCTCTAGCGTGGTCGTGCATGCAAACATCATGCAGAAAAACAGGGGAAAAAATGGGGGGAGGCACATTCGCATGCATACACACACCTGCATCGGCAGTTGTGTGTCTCATTTGCCATCAGTGGAGCATGTTGTTATCCTCTGCTCAGCGCTCTCTCATGAAATGTAGGGCAGGGACAACAACAGGTGCCTGTGCGGGCGACAGCCTGCAATGCCTCCTGGGCTAAATGCTTCACACTCGCTTCATTTCAACATGCGACAGCCTTGTAAGGATTAATTATTTCCCCTGGGGATGGAAGAATATGCTATTTCCCTTCCTGAGAGCAGGAGGCTATGTGCACTCACAAGCACATGAAATAGCTCACAGTAAATGAACAGCAAAACCTGGGCAAGCGCTGCTTTGAAAAGAAGTAAGAGCGGAAAAAAAACTTTCACATGAAAGGAATGTAAACAAACCAAGCATAGTGTGATTGAACTGCATTGGAGATTAGATAAAAGCTCAGGCAAACACATGCATTAGTACTGAGAGATCACGCGCCAGGGAGCGGAGATGGCAGGGAGGCAATTAATGGGCTGACCTTCGTCCTTAATCACCCAGTGCCTGGCACACAATGCCCATGTGTCAGAGCAGCACATCTCTAAATGCCACCCCTCATTAGCACGATGCACGCCGTGAGAGAGGGGCTATCTGTGCAGTGCTCCACTCTCCAGCGGTCAGACAGAGATAGCAAGGCAGGGATTGGATAACATGGCAGCACAGCACTGAACTGAGCTGCAATAGGCCATGATATGATCTAGAAATCCCATTTCACTTGGAGGATGGGCACTCTCCTTTCTCTCCATTTTTGATTGGCATGAAACTCCCCAAGCGCAACGTCCTTGGTGTACCCGGTGCTGTCACTGTGATTGCGTGTGTGCTTTTTGTGTGATTGCTCTGTGTGTGTGTGTCTGTGTGCATTTGGTGAAGGGGGTACCCAATTCTGAACACTCAATTAACACTCCTTTAATTAGCCAGCAGTACATTTTGAATTCTGATGAACTAATTTTCTTGGTGTGACGGTGGAAGAGGCGGCAGAGGGGGGAGGCCTGGTAAAGATGAGGTCCACTGGGTACAAAACAGCAATAAAGAGGGAACTGGTTAGATTAGACTGTAAAAAATCCATTAAATTCTGTGCACTTCTTCCAAGTGAGAGGTCAAATTGTGTTGATCACAAGAAGCAAAGGCAGACAGAGAGAGTATGAGAGCATGGAGTTAGGTGAGGTGAAAAGAGGAGGGGTAGCAGGGGAGAGGAGCAAAAAAAAGGAGAGGAGATAGGGAGTCAGAGGCTGTGCGAGAGTGCAGCACCAAATCCAGAGGACCACGAGAATGCTTTGCATTTTAATTAGAGGTTTAAATGAATAAGCGGAGGAAAAAGTCTGAGAGAACTGCCTGAGATGCCCTTGCTCCCATTTATTAGTGTTCCAAGTGTTCTAAAATTATGAGCAGGTTGGAGAAGTTTCTTCTTATTAGCGGAGAAAACGCTCCAAAACATCAAAAAGCCCTCAGCATTTCCTCACTCACTCCTGCAAAGTCTACGTCCCTACTTACCACACGCTTTGATCCCCTCTGACCATGCACACTGGTGAGCAGGGGAGAAGAGCACTTGTTTAGATGAAGGAAGAGGACCATTTGGTTGAACTGCAATTAGGTTTTCACAGAACAACGAGTGTGTGTAATACACTCAGACTACGGCCAAACAAACAGAGCAGCCTGTGATGAGGTTAGGGCAAACTACAGGAACAGAGATGACCAGGAAGACGAAAGAAAGCGAGAGGTCAGTCTTAGTTCAGCACCCGCTACTTTCGCTGGGAACCATTTCCCCTCATAATGACAGTCCACATTAAGTAAAAGCACGTCCTCGAAATACTCAGCATATATACCGTAAACCTATATGCACTCATGTGTGCTGGGCCTCTTTTCTTCGC